ACGCAGAATTCCGGCATCATCATAGCCATATTCTGCTTCAAGAGCTTGCCATAGGTCTTTTGCACTTTTAAACTCATAGTATATGTCATAAAGGTTATCTGCAAGTGCACTAAGAATTCTATGACAACAATGATAATTAATATCTTCTGGTTTCATAGAGCTAGAAAGAGAGCTAGCACCTGAACCAGAAGTGGAAGGAACAGACTGTTCAGGATCAGGAGTCAAAGGTTGAGTACCACTAGTAGAAGACTCAGGAAAGTCAATGGCTGATAAGAGACCTAAGGTAGTGAGCCAGTATCTCATCTGATTAGCCCACCGTTTATAGTTGATACCGGTGAACTTCTCAGGTTTGACACTTTTTGAATGATCAATTGCCATAAGTCCAATTTGAGTTTTACTAGTCTAGGTAGTTGAAATCTGAACAGGGTAAGAATTTTATTAATACTACTAGACCAGAAACTTAATTAAACCTGCTCTTAACCAAAAACTCTAAAAGTGAAAAGATTAAAGTTTTACTCGGGTAGTTTGGCCAGGTAAGGATAGTACTAGAGGTTGATCAATGATCGATTAAGTACCTCGTTTCTTGCAGAGCGCTTTACGCAACCCTTAAACCTTTCCTTAGACACCAACTAATCCAAGAAAACTTGAACCGGTTCACTTAAAGATTTTTTGTTTATGACAGATACTGAATTTGAGCACAGAAGCAGCAAAGAAATAATATTTTTTTTAACTAATTTAGATGCAACAAATTAAAACAATTAACTAATACAACAAATATATAAAATTCAGGTGAACAGTAATCCCGATGAACAGTAAAATTTTTTAGTAGCAGAGCTTCTGCTCAGATGAAGATGATTGCCCAAAAATAATCCTCAAAATATGTAGCCGAAAATCTTTGAGTATTAAGAGTAGCAGAAGGAGGAAGAGGGAGCTATGAAATTCTTTTTGAATTTCTGTGTGTTTTCCCGAATGAACTCTGCCTCCTTATATAGCCTCATGAACCAGTAACCGATGCTGAATCTCCTCGTCCGTTGGGCGTAAATCACGCTGCCGTTACATAATAATTGCTGCCGTTACATAATAAATGCTGCCGTTACATAATAAATGCTGCCGTTACAAAAAATAAAAGCTGGAGAAGCAAAACCCGAGTGCGGCGTGGCGCGCGCGTCGTGGCGTGGCGAGGCGTGCGTGCGCGCGTGTGTGGAGAAAGAGCACAAACACTAGTAGGCCCAAAACATTACTCAAAGCCCATTAGGAAGTGAACCATTATAAACCACTTGAACTTCTCTTCAACTTCCAATGTGGGACTATTCACAATTGCCTTTTCCTTAAGAAAATGCTAACAGGTCTTACTTTGGGGCCCCACACACGATGTTGGTTTTGGTGTTATGTCCTGAAATAGATGACTTGTCGATAGTTTGGAACATATACGTCTTCTTAATACTGTATACACAATTAGATAGGACAGAGTTTAGAGAAACATCCATGATAAAAGATGCCCAATTGATACGGGCAATTAAATTGAGAATTTATCGATTATCAACAACTCTATAAACAACATGAAACACATCCAAAGCTATTATCATGTGCAACATTTCAGGATAAATTTTCCATAAAATATCATTTGTAATACATTATGAATTAGATGCTTAATTAATCCAGTGGCAGTATATATAATTAAATAGTTATTTCTAACAAAAATTTATTATAGTTGTGTCGCGCGTCGTGCGGGAGCGTGCTCGCGAATCAAACGAGACGGCAAGCGATGAGAGAAGAATATATCAAAACCAAACACGAGTGCAATCCACCATAATAACGGCCAAAATCACACAAACACAGAGATATATGTGGTTCGACAATTGTCTATGTCCACGGGGAGAGGATGAGGAGATTTCACAATATGGAGGAGAATTACAACGGGTTACAACTCACACAAACTCTCAAATATAACCCTAACCAAAGATCTCAACTCCCTCGCAATATCTCCCTCTCAAAGTGCTCAAAACAATGCTAATTCTCTGGTTAATAAACCTAAAAAACGTGTTTTTATTTATAACAAAACACAATCCAAAATAGGGTGGGAATCTGAAAACGCATCTGCCACACCTGGGTGTGGCGCGTACTACACCCCTGACAACAGGGAAGATTCTGCCACACCCGGGTGTGACACGCACCACACCCCTGACAACAGGGCAGGTTCTGCCACACCCGAGTGTGACACGCACCACACCCCTGACAACAGGGCAGATTCTGCCACATCTGGGTGTGACACGCACCACACCTATGGCCTGCTGAATTTTATTGTTTTCCAACATTTTGAACAATTCGACGCCGTTTTCTACAAGTTGTTTATAGAAAACCCCCAAAGTTGATGATTATTTTCTTGACAAACCAACATATATATATAATGTACAGGATGGTTTTTTATAGCTTAATAACTATATAAATTAAAATAAAATTTTAACTTATTACGTCAATACATAGGAAAATAGCATTGCACATAGAAGATACACACATTTCCCTAAGTAGCGAACTTGAACAGGTGTACTTACGAACAAAATAATTGTTTATAAGATGACAAACGGAGATCACCAACCTCATAATTAAATTTGAAGAACTAAAAAAATTGGAATTATTGACACTTGTTACATGTATCTAATTTGGTTTTCAATTGTTTTTGTGAAGAAAGAATCTTAGTCGGAGGCTCTAAGAATTATATAAAAGTGCCATCCCAAGGTGAAGCCTCCCCTTAATAGTGCCACGAAGAAGAAAAAAGGTGTATTATTTCATGTAGATTGATTTCTCATCGCAGTAAAAATTTATGCCCACACTTCTTTTACATTGACACATGTAGAAGTGCCATGTTAATTGCAAAGCATTAAGCAATAACGTCGTAAATAAAAAAAAAATATCGTAAGCCATAATACATATTCACATTATTTGATACAAAATAAATAAACATATTACAAATGTGTTTTTGCAAAATGTATACTCCATTTGTGAAGGAAAAAAATGTGACGTGAGAAGGGAAAAAAGTCTCAAGTTTACTTTTGTTGTAGTGTCTAGACTATTATTTTGATTAATGAGCACTAGATACAAAATGAAATAAAATTTAAGTCGTGTTTTTTAATACGTTGTTAGAGATTAAATATAATTCCTTTTTTATATATAATGATAAGTTGATGGTATTTCTAAAGGTGCAAAAAAATATCATGTGTAATATGAGAAGATGCATGTGGACACATAATCCCTATTTTTACTTAAGAATCCTTATCAAATTAAATCTGTCCATAATTAGAAAATTCTAATTATTGTTAAATATTTGATAATCTTAATGAGATCAAAAGTACCCAAAATTTAAAAAATATAATAATTATCCATAAACTAAAAATGTTATATGGCCTTCCTTAACTTTTTAAGGACAAATTTCACCAAACCACCAACAAGTTTAGTCATTTGACACTAAGCCCAAAAAATATTTGAAACTTCCAATAAGTTTGGAAATTTTAGAAAACACCCAAAATATTTTATTTTCAGATACAACTCCACAAAATCTTTACCCCATAAATTTACATTTACGAACATTTTCCTTAAAGATCATCATACTTCTCAAATCGTTCATATATACATACTAACCCATAAAATTAAAAACAACCCCTGAAAATTACATAAATTACAAATAGCCCTCTAAAAATTATGAAAATAGGCCCATTAAAAACATATAAGTTGTAAACAACCTCTTCAGATTCTAAAACTTATAGGCAACCCTTGAAAATCCTAAAACTACAAACATATTCTTGAAAATACAAAAATTACAAATAATCAACTGAAAAATCTAAAATTATGAAAAACTCTAAAAGTTCAAGTAGACCCTAAAAATTAAAAACTAAACATAAGAACTTGAAAATTTTGAATATTACAAACAATTCCTAGCAAAAACTAAGAATTACGAACTTTCCCCTTTTTAAATCTGAAAATTACAAATAACATTCTAAAAAT